ATGTTTAATGCCCTCTGTATCCTAAATTATATATCTATCCCAGAGCCATGGACTAGTCAGACATTCACATTTCTATGAGTATTCCTTAGAGCATGGTAAGTAAAAATACAGTCACCTGTTTATTCTGTATTTGTTTGATTATCTGATCTCTATTTAGGATTAGAACAAACTCCTTGACCCAAAATGAAACAAAAACTCTAATGAATATTCCTAGTCATAGCCCAAACAAAGATAGTTACAGTATTTCCACATTTCTGATGTCATTACCTAGATGGAAAGTGATTTTGTTTGATGTCATCTCACCAAACTTGTATGTGGATTAGTCCAAGATTCTGGGAATGAGTAGCAAACTGACATATAATATGATTACAAAAGTATTTTCTAAGGTGCCTTTAAGAATATGTGTTCTAGATCTGGCACTATTGCTAAGAATAGTAAAAATAACAATTGTCTTCATTTGTATGGCTGTATTACAAGTATAGACAAATCAATAGCTTTTCTTCCATGTGTCATTGGTATGTTGCATTTAAGTACCAACTCTAAAATAAAAATATACAAGCAGAGAGCATTCTTTTTAATTTTAGTAGAAAAACACTAGCAGAAGATAATAGGCAGTAATTTGTTTGGAAAGACTAGCACAAATGAGTCCTAGATGATTACTTATAAATAAAATATTTCTTATTAAAAAGTACTGGTGAAGAATCTTGGTCCCAGATACGTCACAGGAAAAAAAATCCTGCTAATTCAGTGAATATAGGATTTTGCTTTTTGATGATTTGTTATTACAATAATTTAATAACATCTCAAGAGGAGTCTTAAATCTAATTTGTCAGCTTGTCTGCACAGTTTATTTGTTTGCATTGCATTCTGGTTTTCTTTGAAGTTAATTTTATTAAATGTATAAAATGCAAAAGGCAGCCTAAGCAATATATGAATAATAATTGGAAAAAGGATTTATATCTTATTGGTTGTTTTCAATTTTATGCATGATACATACTGTATTTGTTCAAAGAGATTGTCTTCTTACAGTGCATTTTTCAAGCCATGGATTAATTATGTCAGATTTTCTGTGGCCACACTGGGACTGTGCAAATTGTGGCACTGGTGGTATTTTCAGTGTATGCCTTGGTCCCCACTTGCTGAATTGGACTTCTTGCTGTTTTTTCTAAATTCCACCTCTCTTTAAATGAGAGCTCACATTTCTCTCCTTCATTGAAAAGCAATACATAGTGCATCCTGAGTTCTCCTCATAATCCTCCATCAAGGTATCATAATGTGTGCCATGACTTGAAAGGTGTGTCAGGATCCTCAAGAGCAGCTGATTCATTGAAAAGCAATAAATAGTCCATCCCGAGTTCTCCTCATCATCTTCCATCAAGGTATCATAATGTTGTGTGCCATGACTTGAAAGGTGTGTCAGGATCCTCAAGAGCAGCTGATGTCACTGTGTACAACAGAATCTTTTTTAATTTGGTTGCAGTTTGTACTTTAAAAGGAATTGGCACCTGGCCCACTTGTCAAATCTATTTTAGGGCAAACAAAAAATTATTGCTTCCTATAAATGCTGTATATAGACCTGTAAAATATTCTCAGTGATGCAGGTTATGCACAGTTACTGAGGGAACTACTTGAAGAGAACAAGCTGTTTTTGTCAGCTAAAAGTAGCCCTATGAGTGTTGAGCTCAGTAACATTGCACCTTCAAACCAGTAAGTACTTCTGCTTATAGTTCATAATTCCTGAAAACTGATTTATAAAAATTTTATGTGACACACATTTAGGTGTTCAGCAATTTTCAAAAAATCCAGCATGTTTTACAACTGTACTTATCAGTTAAAAGTCAATATGTATACATCAATATATTTGTACAAAATTATAACAGCCTATGTTAACTTTCTGAAGCAACCTTTCAACAAATGGTTCCAAGGAACTCTGATATTCAAAAACATTTAAAAAAAAAGACTGTGACAGTGGTGTGGATCAGTATTCCCAAGGATACCTATAGCTAATGCAGGAGAATTAGCCTTTAAAAATAGAATTTGGAAGAGTTACCACAGCGAACCCTGTGAGACTGAAGTCAGCCCATAGGATCGTGAAATATAACAGAGGAAACTCTCTTTCTCCTTTGTTAATGTCACTGCTGTAGGTTCACATCTGTGTGAAACTGGTGCTCAGGTGAGTGGGTCTGGTCTCTCCTTTCTTACTGTGGCACTATAAAGTAGTCATTGAAAAAGAATAGGTCTGGTCCCTGTTCACTGCTTATGCATTTTGCAGCAATGAAAATTAAATGAACCACATTCAGAACATATGCAACCAGAGAAATTAATCCAGTGATCCCCAAGATACTTTATTTTAAGCAATGTGACTGCAGTCATAGCATTCTGTATCCCTTATAGATGTGCTAAGCATATAAAATGTGCAGCTCTGGCTACACAGGGCAGCACTTCAGCCTCTTTGGTAGGAGAAAGGATTTTAATTGGTCTTACTGGGCATATAATTAGCTAATTTACTCAACTTTTGCTATCTAGAATTTGAACTTCTAGTTTAAGTGGTTTAAGCTATCTGTTACACTTTTAACGTAGTATAGTATATTGAAGTAAACACACACCCAGACTCTACCCTAATGAACCAGTTTTTGCCATTTTAAGTGTGTGCAATTTGTTGAAGATCACTCAAAAGGAGCAGATAATTCTTTCATGTGGGAATCATTTAATGCATTGTCAATAGCATTTCTACTCCTTACGCTTTAGATGAAGAGTATTTAATTGTCTCTGCAGAGACTGTCAGTTCTAGGAACTTGTTTTAGTATCTTGATGTTGAAGTGCACTTTTTTTGGGATTAGTTCTCTCCATGCTATAGACCTGATTTTGCAGTGTTCTTAAGTAAGAGCCCCAGCTAAGTAGTAGTCTCCAAACCAATGTTATGCATAAAATGAAGTGTGTTCCTGAGTCATACCTGTGTTTGGTGTGACTGTCATCCTCTTTCCTCTGAATGGTAATGAAGTACATGGCAAAGCATGGAAATGTCAAAGTACCTCAGTTCTATACATCCTTCATCTTCATTCAAACTTAATCTGACTGGGAATAAGGCCAGGTACCCTGGGATTTTGCCTGCACATCTAAGGTCCTTGTTTAAGCTGCATCTCTCTCCTGGCCTCTCCATATATCATCCATATATCATCAGAGAAGAAAAAGATGATAGCTCATTGCTTTGATTGTTTTCTCCTGAGATAAAGAGACAACCAGTGCCCTTTACATTTCTCATCCAGGAAATGACATCCTTAAGTAGATTTGCTGTCCCTGCAGAAAGGCAATGGTCTTGATCTTCTGACAAGATTTCATAGATCTGTAAAATAAAAAGGAGTTTACAAAGCAGGTAGGAATATAGCCAGCTGATGTTATATACTGGATTGTTTTGCTTAGTTGTTTTGGGGTTTTTTTTACCTCACTATTTGTACAATATAAATAAACGTCTTTGGTCAAACAACATCAAAGGAATTTCACACACATAGAAATGAGGGAAGCTATTCTATTTTCTGTAGCACAGATTGGTGGGCTCAGGAAGACAACATTTAACAAATAGGATATATTTTCACAAAAACTGCCAAATTCCTGTAGTTTATGTGAAACAGAATGTCCTTAACTCTGTTTATGGCAGATGGGAGCTCACCTGTCACATACACACAAAGAATGAAAGTGGTGCTGAGACTAGGGTTCTTTCTTTTCATCTGGAAGGGGCAACTATATAGAGACAATTGTGGAGAAAAATTCTAGCACTTGCTTTGTGTATTGTGCACAGTTAAGATGCTGTCCTTGTGGTTTCTTTTCTCATTAGGCTGCTAAGACAAACACAACAAACTTTATTCAGCTTGGTGCATGGTAGAGATTTTGGCCAGTCATAAAGAGACCAACACATCCTGAAGCGAAGGAGCCTGCATAGATTTAGGACAGTTAAAAACTTTATCTCCCCCATATTCTGTTTAATTCCCAGTAAATGGTCAGCCATTCATAGATAAAGACTAAAGGCACAGATGGAAGTGTCCTCCTACACCACTGAGAGTAATTTACAAACCTTTATACAAAAGTGTTGCCTTAAGTTTCTGTGTTGTCCAATACCTGTGAAATTAATGTTCATCAAAGTAGTAGCACAATGTAAGTGATGATGACCCCCTAATTATGTGAAATACTATTGGAATCACAATGAAACAGTTTAAAAATCCAAAATATCTGGATGGTGTGGGATATATTTAAATGAGGTTGAAAAGACAACAAAAATGGATATTTTCCATTTTTAAGCAAAGTAGTTTAAAATTTTTTTTCTTCATGAATCCACACTAGATGTCTTCTTTTAAAGGGATGTTTTGGTATACATATGTAAATTTTATTAATTGTATATTTATTTTATAAGGCATTATGTCTTTTTCAAGAGGATACAATGCAATTCATAACGTAATTACTTGAAAGGCCACTGATACATTTAGAATTAATGATTTGCTCAAATCCCTCGCTAGAGCTCTCATAAATAAACTCAAAATATGTTCTCCTTAAAGAAATTTCTTTTGTTATTTTATCTTTTAAAAATAGAGACCTTTTTTTACTATGATATGCCCTTTATGTGAAGACTAGACTTTTTTAGTATGGAAGAAGGGGTCTTGTATGTCCGACGAACACTTCGGATAGAGTAGAGAATCCACAGATGATCAGGGGACAAAATCCTTGTCTTTTTTGTTTCAATACTAAATATAGATAAAGGAATTTCAGGATAAATTTCACGAATGTAGTCTGACGTGTTATTCAAGCACTGCCAAAATATAATATATCTATATGATTAAAGAAACATCTGACCACAGAACACTGCATTTATTTAATTATGTACCATAGAGGTGTTAAAATTTTCCTTGGAAGGAGATCAGCTATTTCTAATACAATTTTCAATGACAACTACATTGACTTACTTGTCGTATATTTTTTTATATTTTGGTTTGGTTTTTTTTCCCCTTTAGGCTGTGCTTTGGAGGTACAAGTTTTCCCAGCTCAAAGGTTCTTCAGATGATGGGAAGAGCAAAATCAAATTTTTGTTCCAAAACCAAGATACTAAACAAATCGAAGCAAAGGTAAAAACAATGCATTGTTTGTTTAAAGGCAATATACAATTTTCAAAGCAGCTAGGGGAGTAGGGAAGCATAGTAAACTAAGTTACTTGGAAATATTAGGTTAATGCACAAAAAATGAAAAGAAAACCAGTGAAATTGAAGAAAAATTACTTTCACCTAGTTAAAAGTTTTTTGGAATGTGCAACTAGATTTAAAAATAATAAAATGCAGGGTTTATGGTATATATGGGTTTAGGGACGTTTTCCAGCTCTCCTCTTTGTTATTTTGATAAAGTTATCTGAGAGCTTGAGTATCCTGTTTTTTGCCCTATAATTGTATCATGAAGAAATGGTGGAAAATATATCCTTAAGTCAACCTGGGAACAAAACTCAGCAAAGGTTAAAAATATTTTTTTATTTCTCAGAGGAAAAAAAAAAAACCTGTGTGGATTAACTATATATTTCCCAAAAAGGCTGAAGTGTCTGTTTCTAATGCAAATCAGGAAAACTGTATTTTGATTCAATAGTTAATTAATAAAAACAGTAGCTGTGAGAGACAAGCTTACTTCAATTTATGTCTTCTGAGAATAAGGACATTTACTGTCCAGTGTTTGTGAGAAGTGATTTTCCCAAGGTCTGTGATGGTTGTAACTGCCTTAGAGTCTGGGTCAAAGTTCTTTTTTAACTAGGATCTAAATTTTAGTGTAAACCTAAAGACTATTTTCTTGTTGATGTCTAAGCTTTGCTTTTAAAGCATTTTCAATACTGTTTTTCCTGACCATTTCAGAGAAAAAGTTACTGAATGAATGTGATAACAAAACAGTTATATGAGCAAAAATGAAATTATTAAATAAATTGTCTGTAAATGTTAAATATGTAGAGTATTATAAAATATGTAAAGAAAAAATGCATTGTTTTGGGGATAGTTGTGTGTTTAAATGCCATAAGCTACATTAAGCATCTTCCTCCATGTCTCTTTATGCTTGATGTTAATTATTTTCTACCCAGCAGCTATTTACTTGATTTTGAGTGTTTTACTCAGTAAAATAAAGGTATGTAAGAGTCCCTATTAAATCAACAGCAGTAAAATGTGAGGACCATGGTTTTGATACCTTCAATGTTCTGCTGGATCTCAAAGATAGATACTTTCTTATTTCTGGTTTCCTTCAGATATATTTTTAGCAGTAGAGAAATTTTTTAAGCTCTAATAAGACAATACAGTTTAACCTAATGTTATGAGGATGATTTTCTCTTAAGAAAGAAATGGTAAACTTTTATCCTGCTCTTATGTACAGATAAAGGATGAAAGTCACCATTATTTTTCTAATATCTGTCTGCTATTGTTGTCATATTAACACTTTATTTTAGCACTAACAAAATTCATAGGAATCCAAGAATGATGCACTGTTGGGATGTTTGGGGATTTTTGGGGTTTGGGTTATGATTTGGGGTTTGTTTTTTTTTTTAACTGGTAAAACTAGAATATATTTTTAATACTGAATTATATTAAAAAAATAAAGCCAAATAATTAAATACAGATTCTAAAAAAATAGGATTTTTTAATGTTTTAAATTATATCTGTCATATAAATCACTTAGAGATATATTAGTATGTTGGACATACATAAGCCTTAGAGTATCCTGTGCCTTTATTGTACCTATTGTTATTTCCACTCAAATTGAGTTCTAGAAAATTCTGGCAAATTTTTATTAAGGTAGAAATGCTACATTACACCTTATGAAACCAGAGTATTATACAAACCTGCTAGCATGCTTATTAATATGCTGTCTTGTTCCCTGGTTGCTGCTCTTTACTATAAATTTACTTTCACATTACTCAATTTTGAAATTAAAATTTGTTTATTTTAATTAATTTTCTTGGTGAGCAAAGCATATCAACTATATGCAAAGATGTCAGGTTATATTGTGTTTGGAAGGTGCTGTGGCATTTATAATGAGCACTTCTATCCATTCCAATTTGTTTCATATTAAGTTTGTTGCTTAGTATAAGAAATGTAGATAAATGTGTCTGTAAAATGAATGTGAAGGTTCTTGGGTCATATATTTTCAATGCTGGTTACCTTACAATTTTGTGGATAACCCCCTTCTGTATCCTTTAAAGCTTTCATAGATTTAAATCACTATTCATTGTAAGGAGAGGTGGAACAGTCTAGCCTCTATTTTCTTGCTTTACATTACTGAGTTAGAAGTATAGCTATTTGTGGAACTGTTGAGTCATTAAGAAATGTTAATCAGATTTTCAGAAATATTTGTAAAGCCAGATTTCATGAATACTGTATGCAGACTTCATTTGAGATCAGAGGATGGAAATTTTGTAAAACATCTGTTAAAGGTTGTGATGAATATTCATGCCACAGCTATCATCACCTGTTTTGCAGCTGGCATGGAGACCCACTGCTGCAGCATTTTCTTTATGATTCTATTCTTTTTTCCCCTAATACAGGGGGAATAATCAGAATGTGGTGAAAGGAGAACTCAGCAGAGAATAAAACCAAAAAATTGAGGAGCCATTGCACCAAAGTATTAGGGCTCTTCACTTGCTTATTCCCAATCAGCAAAGTGGAAGCAGGATGTAGCAGGAAACTTTCCAGACACCACAAATACTGTCTTCAGTTTTGGGCCACTCACTAAAAGAAAGACATTAAGGTGGTGAAGTGAGTCCAGAAAAGGGAAACAGAGCTGGTGAAGAGTCTGGAACACAAGTCTGATGAGGAGCAACTGATGAAGCTGGGGTTGTCTAGCCTGGAGTAAAGGAGGCTTAAGAGGAATCTCATTGCTCTCTACAACTGCTTAAAATGAGATTGTAGCAGGTGGGGTCAGCCTGTTCTGATAAGCAGCAAGCAATTGGACAAGATGAAATGACCTCAAGTTGCACCAGGGGAAGTATAGGTTGGAAAATAGGAAAATATATTCACCAGAAGGGTTGTCAATCATTGGAACGGGCTGCTCAGGGAAGTGGCAGAATCACCATCCCCAAAGGGATGATGTAGATACGTAGATGTGGCACTTGAGAACATGGTTTAGTAGTGGATTTGGCAAAGGTGGATTAACCATTGAACTCAATAAATGTCCTATTCAACCTAAATGATTCTATGATTCTATATAATAGCTTCACTGAAAAATATGAGATATCAAAACCAAATTTTTCCCCTCTTCCTTCATTTATAATGCAGAACATTTTGTGTATCTCATGCTTTCCCCATGTGTGTGATTATGGCGAGTTGAACCTCTGTGCTAATACCTTTAGAGTACCTAGCTTTAGAGCACTTATTCATGATGTGCAGAATCAGGAGTGTCAAATTCCTCATCTATTGAATTTTGATCCAAACTTAGATAAATTTGCTATTATTCTAGAAATGTGTTCCAACTTGTAGATATACATTTATTGGGAAAAATAAGTATGCATCAGCATTTTAAATTTTATCATACTATCTTCATAATTGTCTAGCACCTTCTCTGTATTCTGGTGGAATATACTGAGATACCAATGTTAATGATAGAAAAATCTAAGAAAAATGCATTTTGGAGTAAGTCCAATACAACGTGCATTTATCAGTTAGCTCTTTTTTTGTTGTTTTTGGGAAAAAACACTTGCCACCAGAGTTTATATTCCTAAGTGAAAGAAAGTCCTTCACTGACACTGAATAGTTAAGATTTTTATGATACTGTCAACATTTTTTATAGTGTGCTTCATGCCTAACTTAAAAAATTCAAAATGGCATGCCTTGAGACATACAGCATGTGCTATAGATTTAGTTACAGTTTAACTTATTTCCCAGTATTGTTGTTTTCACCTTTAAAATAATTTTAGGTATTTAAAAATTTCAAATACTGCCTTTTTTTTTTTCTGTAGAGAGAAAAAAGGAGACATACTCATGCTTCTGTTTGGCTTCTCTCTAAGTGAAATTATTGTAAAGATATATAATGTAGAATAAAAAGTGTTTCCTCATGGATTTAAGCAGTTCCAGTCTAAAACTCTGAACAATAATTACCGTAGGTCACACCAGTGGGTCTCTGGCAGGGTGCCTGAAAGCAAACACCTTACTTAAAAGGTATCTAAGGCAAGGTCTAAGTGGTTTCTGACAATAAAACCACTTAAGGGCAGCATTAATCACTGATACCCCTTAGACATTCCAATCTGTAGGTTATTTCCCAGCTGTCACTCAGCAGGAGATATTGCACAATTTTTCTCAGTGAGACAAAATTTTTATGAGTGAGAGCTACAAAATAGAGCTGTCACCTTGACAGAATGTGGAGCCAATGTGTCCCTGTATTTGTTCTTACTGAGATGTTTGGCTTGGGTTAAAAAAAAAACTAAGCACAGGAGGCCAAAGCTTTCTCTGCACCTGTAAGGCCTAAAAGGGATCCTCTTAGACATTCCCATCTAGTTACTTATCAGTTTACGTGTTTGTTTAGCTATAGTTTAATGATCCTTTAGTGTCTCAGTAGTATCACAGCAGCTTCTGGAGTTGATACACTATCTAAGGACTGTAATAAACTCAGAGTGGTGTGACCTTCAATATAACCTAACAAAAAGAGAAGAGTACCATATAACCTGACAAAACAGAAGAGTACCTTAAATCTTTGAGTGTTCCTGATTTGAGATAAACATATGAGTAAATGATGTGTATAAAAATCAGTATCTTATTACATTATTGAATTTTTACCAAGCTGGGAACTGAGGGTCTCTGCATGCTTGATAAAATATGTGTGGCTCAAAAGCTACACTTTGGTCTGTGCTTTCACCTTGCCATCTTGCAGCACAACAGTTCTCTCAGAAAAACTCAGGCAAAGCCACATTGCTGTGCTGCATCAGGTGAGCTTTTGTTCACAGACTGGCTGAACTCCTAAACTGAGCAGTACAAAATTGAAGTGGGTACAAAAATAAGTTTATCAAGATGAAGGTCCAGTCAACTGTCTTCATCTGTTTAAATATGGAAAACCAAAGAAGGCACAAATATGGTATCAGCAAAGGAAGAAATTTAACTTCAAGGATTTTACATTAATCTCATTATTAATTAATACTATCTTAGTATTAATTAATGCAAATTAATAGTACTTGAAATGATCTTGTAAAGAAATCTAATCTAAGTATCCTGAATGACTACTGATCGCATTACTACGAACAAAATACCCACTTCCTACTGTTGCAAGGTGACTTGATGGATGCTTGCATCATTTTCCAGGCTGACATTTCTGCTCATTTCAAGTCTGTTCTCCAAAATGCAATTCTAAATTAATCCTTGTTCTTAGTCTTGAGGGTTTTTCAGTGAGCATCACAGTGCTCTTTACATTTAGAGTATCATCTTTAAATGGATTATAAGTATACAGCCTTAAGATTTTTATAGAGTGATTGCTCAGTTGCAGTTACTGAATTTTTGAATTCATATTTCTGACTTGTGTTGGTTTCTATGGTTCAGTTTTTAGTTTCCCAGGGTCTTGCACATGGATTATTTGCCTAATATCTCTTTTAGATCAGATTCTATGCAAATACAGAAAGACACTGTAACTCCACTTTTGATGAACAAATATATTCTTATATCAGCTTTTTATATATGGATGAAAGAGAAGACTTTTTTAAAATATATAACGGATACTTCAAAACATACAATTGCTGGATTTTGTAAATGTGTCATTTATGTAGTTGTATCATACTACATAATATATGTATATACAATGCAATAAGAGATTACTGGAGTTTGTTTCTTTTCTTTTGGGAAAACTCTCTTTTTTTTCCTCCTTCTTTCACTGTCATTTCAATCCAGATGTCCTTTGTGAAAGGCTACTAGAATTCCAATATACTTCTGACATTTTCAGTCATTGTATCTTCCTCACATGCCTTTTTGTCCACTTACGTTGTCCTCAGCAGGATCTGCAGATGTTCAGATTAACAATCTGGAGATGTCTGGCATAATAACAGCAATGTAGGGTGAGAGCAGTTTAATCAAGTGATAGTTTAGAAAGACAATTTGAAAACCGGAGGGTACACTGATATTCTTAGGAGAGTAGGGTCTTAGGCAAGGTGTACAGGCAACAGTCCGGAAATTGTAGTAGTAAATTGTGTTTGGGAAGTAGGTGTGGCTGAAATTAGGATTTTTTTTTGCTTTTTGGAGGATTCAGAGCATGTGACTTTCCCTACTGGTATCAACTTCAGTGGCTTAACTGCATATTTTTTCAGGTTTCTTAGGGTTTGTCTGTTTGTTCTCTTAAAACTTCATCTGTACTATGTGTGCAGTACACACTACCGTGTCTAGAGGAAAGTGTATTCAGGCAAATGTATGGCGGAGGACAAAGTGTGTACAGAAAAACACAGGGTGGCTGGGGGTGCACAGAGCCTGTGGGTTCCCCTCTGTGTGCTGGCAGTAGTGCCAACCTGGAGACACCTAAAAGGGCAAGTTCCCAGCAGAAGTGAAGGCATGCTTTTTCTGTCAGCATCCCTACGTGGAGTTGTATCTGTTTGTTAAGGTTTCTTGTGATTAGACTAATCTGCCTGAAAAGTGTTGTTCCTGATAAAGTCCTGTTCCCATCAATCAGGCTTTTGGGAACTGAGTTGCAGCCATTAATCAGACCCAGACCAGTCAGCCTACTGTGCTTCACATTGCTTTAATTTCCAGTTAAAAATGCATGTTTTCATAGAAATAGGAATAGTGTTTCATTGCAAATAATAACTGAGCCTTTGCTGACTTCTCACTGCTCTTCTTTGCAGTCAAGGTAATTTCCATGTTGTGTCATTACTATTGATAATAGTTATCAAGTGGGACCTTCAGAGGCTGTTCTGTTGCCTCACCCATTTCCCTTGATGGTCAATTGAGCAGTGAATATTCCTGATGTGTTACTATTGCAGAAACCTGTGATAACTCTTGGAAATAATTATACTCATGCACTGTGGAAATTCAGTGCCCAGTAGCTGTAATAATGATAGTAACAACATTTAGCTTGTAGAGTTGCCTAATTGGCTTGAACAATTCTCAAACTCTAGCATTTGTTTTAATATGGTTATCTTGTTAAGACATAGGGGGAACTATAGTCTTTCTACAGATAATACGTGCAATTGATATTAAAAATATTTCATGGTTCCACTAAATATTTATTCCCTTATCTTAAGCTTCAGGTGTGTTTTTATAGTACTAAAAAGGTACATAAATAAATTAATAAAATGAAGTTAACTGAAAAATAACTTAATTCCAATGACTCATAGTTGTTATTCTGAAATAGATTCCATAATTCCTTGATTCCTCATGTTTGAATGACCATTGTTTTCTTATTTATGATAAATTTTCTTATTTTAAAATTTGAGGGAGGAAAAATCCACTTTGACGTAGTGATAAAATTCCCATCCTCTTTGGATTTAAAACTGAGAATGTCACTAAATGGACTAAGTTTTTATATAGGCACAGCTGGCAGGTTTGTGAAACTTGGCATAAATTGTATCTTCTTTATTGAGAATTGGTCATGAGGGGAGTTTGAAGAACCTCATGGGATATCATCAGTTTGTTTCTGAGTGTGTCTGAAGGACATCTGCTGAGGCTGTAGGAGACCTGAACAAAGCCTCACCCATTCAGTACATCACTGGACACTGCACATCCAGCTGTCTGCTTTCACACTGTTGTCCCTCACCCATGAGGACTTTGTGAATGTCTCCGTGCATTCTGTGAAGCAATGTCTTCCAGGAAATCTCAAGTGGCAGAAAATTGCAGGTTGATGTCATTTGAGAGATTTAGCAATTTTTGTTGAATTTACAACATTTTCAATATTCTTCTGAACAAAAAAAGCAAAACCCTGGCACTATATAGCCTGGAAATACCAGTGTTAGACAGAAAGACAAGTAGAATATACCACAGATAGCAATTATTGGTTTCATATTGCCATGAAAAAATCCATATGGGCAGTGAATCAAAGCAGAAATGTAAAATCTGTACTGCTTTCCCTAGACTTACATGTATTGAAGTACCTCAGTAATTGATTAAAATACAACAGATAATTATTGATTAAATACCAGCTTCAACAACACATACTGAAAAAAACCCCAAAAAATTGATCTGATAAAGTCAATTGGACATAAAGGAGCAAATTTATATATGTAAAAAAATGTATTTTTATTTATTTTCTCTCTTGTGGGATCTAAAAAAGTCCCAGCTAGTCTAATCACATGCTCAGCAAGCTATAAAGAAATGTAAATTGAAGCAGAAAAATCAGGAATTTTTATTATATTCCTAATAAATTTAAAACATCAAGTATGTTCCTTTTTTGGCCCACTAACAAATCTAAATTATCACTGAGTGATAGTAGCATATTTTGAAAATATATTCTCTCTTTTATAATATATATGTTAAAGAATGAGGTAAGAAAATAGCTGTTTAATAATGTGATTTAATAGCTGATTAATAGTGTGAGGACATATGATGAAGAAATGTAATATATGCGGCACTCAACATTATTAATTTTTGTGGTTAAATAGTAGTAGTCCAGAGGTGTGCAGAATGTTACAGCACAGCCATAAAGTCTCTGTCTAAATTAACCTGCAAAGGTGGCAGATGTGCATTAACCTGAGCAAAATAAAAATTATATAGTGTCACTTTTTTTCCCCTTTAGCTAGTAAGATCTCATATTTCTATGAGGCACTTAATCCAGAAATTTGTCCATCTTAGCCTCCAAGCAATTATTTACAGAATGTTCCATTTTCAATGTCTGAGTCCCTGTAATGGAGAATTGTAAGGCACATCAGCAGAATTACATCAATATATTAAAATTATTGCTGTTGTAACAGTGGTTCATTCCTGGTTATATGCTTATGGGGTGTTTTTCCATTTCATGTTTAACATTTTTTTTTTCACTTCCAGGAGCTGGAGTTTTCTAACCTGTTTGCAGTCCTTCACTGTATCCACTCATTCTTTGCAGCCAAAGTGGCTTGTTTGGACCCTTTGTATGTAGGCAGCCAAGCCACAGCTTCTGCTGCTCCTACAACTTCTGGTACTGGCAAATTAAAGTATTCTACTTGACATCCCCCATGACAGCACTGCCACTTAACAACGAGACATAAAAATGTATAAATATTCATAACATTTAGACCTTTGGTGAACCATCTATGTGGAAACCAATCCTGGAGGCAAGACATCTTGCAGCATCAGCAGATAAATGGTCACGTGGGATCATCATTTCATCTCGGTTCTGCAAGACATCAGTAAATAATCCTAGTCAAAACCCCAGAATAGGATGGATATGCTTTTAGTATTATCTATTTGTACTTACATAGTGCTTTAAGCAACGTTGGAAGCAAAGGAATAAATGGCAAAATGAAGCACTTGAGTATTTAATAAAATTTTCAAATTGCTGTAATAATACACAAATAGAATTGTCATTTTCCTCTTTTTAGATGTTTTCTAATGACAATATACTAAACTCTGAGTATGAACATAATGCTCTATCATTATATTATAAATGAGAGCAAGCATACAGTTCATGGTGACAAAGGAGATAAGCATGAAAAGACATTTGTGTGAGTACCTCCTCAAATAAGAAAGCACTTTAAGCACTGTTGTAAATCCATACTTGTGTTCATACATGGAATCATGCTACTTTTTCCATTTAGTTCGCTTCATCTAAAAGTAACAACAGCAAACATATAGCCATACTGGTCTGATACATTAAAAACAAAACAAAACAAACAAGCCACAAAAAGAAAAAAACCACTTTTTTATGGATAACTCCCTCCTCTTCAAGTAAAAATAATGGCATATGTATTTAATTTTAATTATAAATTAAGTGCAAGTACAAACAATAGTGTGACATCTATTTATTTCCTCCCTTTTTTTGAAGAATTAAATACCGTAAATCTAACAGTCTTTGTTCACAAGAGTTTGAAATTGTTTCAGACAACTCAATTAATATGTTGTTTCCATGGATAACCTTGATTTCACATCATAGGCAGAACTTACATTTCATTTAAACTCTCAACAAATAGATATTTTTCATTATGCTTGTAAAATTATTTTACCATTTGAATTCTTAATAAGTTATTTTATGTATATATATTGATAGTAAAACAGGGATACATTGAATAAGCTATAAAGAATGCATTCTTTGTTAATTTCTTTGTTTTTTAAGACCTTTACATCACTCTGGATCAAGTACTAGTTTCAGAGCATAATTTAATTATGAAATATAAAGGACCTCTAAGTTTAAAATTAATAACTTTGTTTAATTGCAATTTTATAATATAATTGAATTTTGCGCTATGACATACACAAATGAAGGTGATGGAAAAAAGTTATATATTTTCGGGAGTAGTTTTTGGGGTTTCTTTTTATTGTATTGAAATTAGGATTACCTTTTTTTTGTTCTCCTCCATTTAGACTTGTTAGTAGCATTTACAAGATAGGGCCACCATCATCCTTGTTTAGCAGGAAGACTGTCACGTCCCTTTCTATTTGTTAAGATGATTAATACTTCAAAACTGAAGCCAGAGGAGAGCTTCTCCGAATGGGAACAATTCAAACTGCAAGGCAAGGAAAAAAGTTGAATGAAATTAAGGAGCAAATCTTGGTTTTTTATTTGCTTTTCCTTAGAAATATTTGGATTTGCATGTGTGAGAGTGACATTGTTTTATAGTATAGTTGACCTAATTTCATATTAGTTCCAAATAATCTGAAAATATTTGGGGGAGGGGAACAGTTGTATCACTTTCAAAGGTCTTCTGATATACACATACTTCCTATTAGTACACCTCCAAGGGCTACACATTTATTTTCCATCCTAAATACATTCAAATGATGTAACAATCCATCTATTAAATAGTCTAAGTGGCATCAAAATCCAGTGTTTTCATAGACATCGTCATGATTTTTTTTTTAATAAGAATGGTCCCTAAATAAGGGGGTCACATCTGAAGGACAGATGAGACTACCGTGGCTGTCCATAGGATCTTGATCTTGGACACAAACCCTGGATATTTTGAATCTAAAGCTATAGCAGTTTAAGAGGTTTAACAATGGTAACTCAGGCACTGCCTTTGTCTAGAAACCAAATACTGGAAACACAAATTTTGAGCAGAGCACTGACAGTGCTGAAAAGAGAAGCCTGATACCTTTTAATGACAGTTCTCAGTGCTCCCAAATAATCTCCTCCACTTCAGTGCATTGCTGTGGCATTCAGCTGTCACAGCAGTGTGGCCATGTGCTACCACCTCTTCTGGCAATAGCGGAGTCTGAAACTGGTCAGCTGCCGCTTGAATGTTTTCCCTTCAACTCTTCATGTGATGTGCAGTTGCATCACTGAATCTGAGGGGTGTTTAGGAGATGTGCTTGAATGAGCGTAACATTTACCCAAACCAGCACAAAATATGCCATTGCAAATTTCTGTAGATGAAGGAATTCTATTATGTGAAAGCCCCCTCACAAAAAAAATTAAACAATAAGGCTCTTTGTGCAGAATGGAGTTAATGACATGAACTTTTGGAAATCTGCCAGGGTATCCTGAAGCTCTCTGTCAAGAATTCTGTTTGTAGAACACTTGCATTCATCACTGAGAATTTTGCAATTGGGCATTAAATACAGAATATTTAAGGAACACATTAACCTGCAAATTGTTTTTTTTTGTTGTTGTTTTTTCTAAGGAGTTAAACTGGTGGGGCTTCATCAGTACTTTTATTTTCAAGAAAAAAAGTGTTATTGAGAGAACATAAAATGTCATAGCTATGACTGCAGGTCAGTGTTGATTTGTAAGTGCAGCAGGCATTTGTGCAGTGATCTGACAGAATATTCAGAGGTGACTCTGCATCCAGCCTTGCCCTTGCAGAGCAACTTGGTCAGAAATTCAGTCTTGAACCAAAGAGGCAAAATTTTAAATTCTGTGTAATAACCAATCCTGAAATACCAAACTAAAATTTACAAACCTATTAAATGGCTGGCTACATTTTGCATTTAAATACCTACATTGAAAGCATAGTGAGCTCCTTATGCATATGTCAAAACTCAGGCTTTGTGTTGCAGCCTGTCATTTCACACATAGCATATAATGAATACAAGTGTTTTGTAAGTCAACACAGCCCATTGACAATAAAATGACAGAATTATAATGAGCCATCAGCTTTTGCTAAAATCTGTATGCAAGTGAAAGCAAATATTTTAATAAGAGAGTAAACAAACCAATCCATAGCATAATATGTAATTTGTTTTCCTTATGTCATGATATTTTCAATTAAGTTTAATAAAGAAAATTCTTTATAGTACTGTGCCTATTGATGTTATATAGTATACCAAAAATATGTACTCTTAAGTATAACTAAATGTATTTGGCTTGATTTGGCTTGCTTTATGATGGGAATTTTAGATTATCTGGTCTTCACAGAACTAATCATATGCTAGGATATAGTGTTAGCTTATTTATTATGGAAGTGTTACAAATTTGAATACATTTATTCTTGATTTCATCAGTAAATGAATATGTTTCATTTTCCACATCTTTTTAGAAATAAAAGTTACAGTTTTTCAAAAGAGCTTTGCATTCCAGTAGCACAAAGGGACCTTTGAAATAAAAATCAGCATATTTTTAGCTGTTGGCCATTTTATTATGGTAATTGAGTGCATCAAGAACTTTGTGGAGAAGAGCTAGTTTTAAGAGGGCTGTTTTTTTAAAAGTCATTTATCTATTCAAACTAGAATTCTTAAGAATGCGAACCAATATTATACAGTATCAATATGCTTTGAGAAAAGAATAATGAAAAATCTTGTTTTCTAAATTAGTTCTTAATTCCACAAAATTATATTTATTTATTTTAAATGCAGAGACCCATCAGAACACTCCATATGCATGAGTAAACACGTAGTTGTCAACACTGCAGCCTGTTACTTTGAATGTGATTTGGTTTATTCAATGCCTTAAGATGTTTCTTGTATCAGAAAAAATGTTAAAAAAAAAAAAACTTGGGATCTTGAGAATGTGCAACTGTTGCTCCTAGAATTGAAAACACTAAGCCCTACATTTCACTTTCTATTTCTTTATGTGGTGAATTGGTCTCTGAAAAAGTCTAGTGTCTGAAAAAAATTAAAGCTGAATTTTAAAAGTTCTGTCTCAGGCAGTTGTGAGTCTATGCTTAAAGCTCACACCTCTGTCTGGTTCAGTATGATGGGAAACATGAAAGACTCACTTAAGGTCCAAAAATTTAAGTACCTGTCTTAGATGCCTGAGGTTGCAATTCAGGCACTTCAAAAAGGAAACACAGGGTGGGCATATAGCTTAAGATCTCTGAAGAGGCACGTGTATGTGTCTGTCTTTCTCTCTGTTCCTCTAAGGAACTAGAGGTGCTTCTACTTTAGTGTTTTCATTTTATCAGGAATGTGCATTTTTTTAGCCAGGCTCCTGCCTACAGCCACTCATGCAATTCTTATTATCACAGAGCAGTCATCAAGCACATGAGCTGTTTCTTTCAGGATGACACTAAGCAAGCATCCCAGTCCTGGTGGGCTTTCAGACCATGCAGCCCAGCTGAAATGAGTCCAGAGGAGAAAAACCCTCTGAGATTTTACCAGCAAGGTTGCCAGGTCCTGGTGCCACCCATTCCTGTGGCTGTGGCAGCTGCTGCTAGTGCAGAAAAATGGAGAAGAAGCTAATAAAGCTAAAAAGATGAGCTTCACAGTGTAGCCCCTGGGGCTCAGTGCCTGGAGGGGGATGCTGTGCTGCAGCAAGAGGCAGAATGAAGCTGAAAAGGGCTGGTGCTGCCCAGGCAAGTTATTCTGCATCACTTTTTCCCTCACCACACCAGGACAGTATTGGCTGCAAGCAGGCTACCCCATGCTGCTCAGCCCTCTCTCTGCTGCATCTTTCTCCCCATCTGCCACAAACACACCCCTGAATATTGGCTCTGGGTCCCCAAGCACACTTCCATGTTCCATCACTCCCATTGCTCAGACAAATGCCAAACTGTTCTTAGCTACATAATGGAGCCTCTAAACCTTGTACACGGCCAGGGGGAGTGTTAAGGTTTATGGCAAGAGCATAAAGTGCTTGAGTGTGTGATTAACTTTCAGGTTATAGCAAATAAAGTCTTATCTGTGCTTAAGTGCTTTCCTGACTTGGAGGGATGTTAAGTGGAATTATTTTATTCTCCTGGAATCAGTTCTAAAATGTCAACATATTTCTACTTGCTTGGCTCCATTTTCAGGAAGTTTAGCAGACAGTGGTTCATAGCCTCTTGGAATCATAAAGAAAAAAACATTGGAATGCTGGAATAAAAAAAACCCCCGTCCTGTTCAGACTCTGTATATTATTACAGTACATTGCATAATCTATTGAAATATATTGAACAATGTAAAAACAAATGCTCTCATTTACATTTCCTTGTCAGTATTCGCCATGGTATTCATGCCTTCCACTTTCAACAACTTTCTCCACAGAAATCCCAGCTATCTCTTACAGAAAACTTTTGCTATTCAGTATATACTAATATATAATGCTGTGTGTATGTATGTATGTGTGGGGAGTGTGTGTGTGTATGTGTCTGTGTATGTGTGTGTGTCTATATATTAGTATATACTAATGGAATATATTCAATATATATTAATAAAAGTTACATATTAGGCACAACTGTAAAACAAAAGCATACATCCATGAAGCTTTATATTTAAAAACTTACAATACTATAAAGAAACATATGTATATTAGTTGAAGAAATGGCTATTTTTGCAGGGTATGCACAATCTGGATATATGATAATAAATTGATAAACATTAACAGATTTATTATTTCATACCTCCAGGAACTTAAAGATTTTTTTAATTATTCTTATCCCTTTAGCATATTTGCAATATATGTCATAAATTTTAATTTGTTATGGATTAAAATGACTTAAAAATGTAATAGAAAGTCCTATATATTTTATAAATATTAAAAAAATTAAGAAAAGCTATTCAAATTATTTATTTCATATTTAGTTAAGGTTTTGTGATTGTTTGTAATATGTATTTGTGACAAGCATAAGTCACCTAGTTGTTTAAGCTCATTAATGTACCACTAATAAAATGCTATCTTCTGTTTTGTTTTTGTTATGCTTCTTTTTGTAATGGAACACAGCAGAAAAAATAGAAAATAAATACTTTTTTAACTAATCTTTTGCATTCAGTCATACAGTGTATGAGTTTTATATTGTTGAAAGCTAAGTCTGGGAAATCAAGAAAATATTTGAAGAGCCTGGGGTGGTAAAGTTATTTCCCAACAACTGTTTATTTAATAGAAATAATGACCATTCCTTACTTGTATGATCATTTCTACAAGGCCTGTCACCCACTTTACACCTGGAAATATCCCTTTTTTTTTTTTTTAACAGTTTGGAAATATCCCACTCTCCCCTGGCTATGAAGCTCAGCCTACAACTATCACCCAGCCACCAGATTATTTTACCATTTAAGTGCTTAGTTGGTGGGAATCAACCTAGGCCTAGTATTGCAGTGCCTGAAGGTATTTTGGTGTATCATTGAAACCAAACAGTTTTTAAATGGTGCTGCAATTACTAGAGAAAAAACAATCTTCATGTGTTTGATTTTGTTTGGGTTTTTTTCTCACTCAGGGAAGGGATGCTGGAAGATGGGGATTCCCTGCTTATATTTAGGCACCTTTGCACCTTTTTGGTAATTTAAGATGGGAGTCTGCAGTGCACATCTCACATGCAAATTTTTGATGCCTTTTTTGTGCTCCCAGTGTGGGAAGGCCAGGTGAGCTCCCTTACAACAGTGCTGTTGTCCCTTATCTCTCTCAGCCCTTCCTAGAGCATCCCCATGGCTTTCTTCTGAGGCTGGAGTTGACTTCCTCAGCTCTCTACCCAAGGGAATTTCTTTGGTGGCCCCAGCCCTTTCAGCATCTTGAAGAGAAGGAAAAAATATGAACTAATTTTAAGTGTGATCAATACCTTGTGTTAAAATATTCTCAGTCCTCATTCCCTGAAGTTATTAGTCTGTTGTGGGTCAGCAAACATACACAGCTCAGCCAGATCAGTTAGCTTCCTGTGTCTTGAGTTTGGGTTTATGCCTCATTTAAGTGAAAGGGCAGAAAAAATGAGAGGAGTGATTTCTTCTATAAAAGAGGTGAAGGGAAACTTAGAATATTACAGTTAAGAATACCTTGGTAGTACATATATTCCAAATGTACAGGAATTCTCTTATAGCCACCATTTTCATTTGCTCATTAAGTATGAACTATATTTTGTATTAAGAGCATGGACTGCCATAGGACTGAAAGGTTTGTTTATTCTGGAAATACCTATCTTCGAATTATCTTTTTTACTCTCACATGTTTTACATGTTCCCCACATGTTTTGGCCTCAAATGAAAACTCTTATAATCAAAATTTCCTAAGATAGATATAGTTCTTGAATAATATTCTTTAAGTTCATGTTCCACAGATTTTATACTTTTGTAGCCCAAACCCTACAACAATTTATTCTTTAAAAATTTGAAATTAATTATTATCTATTTACCTTTGCATCTGACCAACAATAGTTAAAAGAGTATATTATTTGTGTCTTTTTAATGATAAATTTTAGTTGTCTAGGGTTTATTTTTTAGTTTTTGGACAAAAGTTATTTTTGCATTTACCTATCAAGTAGTGGTATTTTTTTAAGTATTCTTCTAACACAATCCCCTTTATAAATTGAAAATTATATCCTTTTAATTTTCTAACCAGAAGCAAAACAATTCATTCTCTGTAGTGCTATGGTTGTTATTGCTATAGATTTGTTCAGAAAAGTGGAGGATTTCACTCCTCATTTGGCATTTGTTGGCTATGTGCTTTGTGTACTTTGCATGCACACTCTTCTCACCACTTTGAGCAGAATTTCTTCCCAGGCCTTTCTTCAATGTCATGTACAGCACAAATTTCAACCAGACCTGGACTCCTTAATCCTTTGAGAGCAAAATTTTATTTCCTCACCAGTCTGGAGATGATTTAAAACTTGAGGCCATAAGCAGAGATTTATTATTTTTCCTAAAGTACGCCACATAAAAGCAGCACCAGCTGGAAGAGGGTGTCTGGAAGCACTGCCACTCCATATTCCCTGGGTTGGCCTTGCGGAATTGTGAGCATAGAAGATAGCAGTGGTTTTGTTTTTCTGGATTACATAAGGTACAACCTGAAACTTTTTAAGACTGGGTTTTTTTGCTGCAAGGTGGAGAATTAGAAAGATTTTTACCAGATGCTGAGATTGTCATGTGAAGCTATATCTAGAAACACAGGCTTTAAAAACGGGTTGTTTTTTTTTTCAAAAAATCTCCATCAAGTACCATCAGCTGCAGTGAAGACACCAGTTCTGAGACCAGTTTCAGTGAAAGTTCTTATGCTGACAGATCCAAGCTCTCACCTTTCTCCTTTGAACAGGTACAAAACCCTTTTAGCTAGATGTCTTTATTATTTTTCTTATTTTGCTTCAAGAGTCCAGTGAGGAAAGACCAAAGGTCTCAGAAATGTCAAACCCCTTAACTGAGGCAAGGAAGTGATGTGGTGGTCTTTGCACTGCAGTTCACCAAGGGCAGAAAAGGATCCTGCTGGGGCAAGATCACAAACAACTTAGGTTCTCTTCACACCAGAAGACAAATATTTGGAAGAAGTGTAAAGCTGAGACCTTTCATCATTTCACAAGAATCAGAAGCTCGGGCTGTACTTAACATGGAAACTCAAAAGCAAAATGAGATCTCATGTCTGGATGGTTCATGCGGCTGCAAGGAGCTCCACACGGGCTTGTACAGCTCTCTCCCCTGACAAGAAGTTTGAGAGCCCCAGTGATGGTGCAGTGTTAGGGAGACCTGAGCTCTGTGAGAAAATCAAGGCAATCCTGTGACGGCTACAAATGACCAAGGGGCTCATCAGATGGCAGGAAAATGTTCAGAGGAAAATGAATTTAGGAAGAGCTGCCTGAGCTACTGAATCTTATCCAGTTTCCTTAGGCAGCAATGTCATATAACCCTTTCACAAATATTTAAACCTAATCTTAAAAGTAATTAAGCTTTTTGGCCCTCTTCCTCTTGTTGGAAAGCCTTCTGGAATCTCACTGCTCTGATGGCTTGAAACTGTCTTCCAATTTCCAGCCTAAACCTATTTGTAACTAGTTTATATCTATTTGACTTTGTGCCAGTGTTATCCCCTAATTTAATTTTTTTTTCCATTCCCCCATCTCCCCTCCTCTTCTTGATTCATTTATAGTAAGCAATCATATGCCCTGACAGCTTTCATTGTGCCTGAATGCACAAACCAAGCTCATACAGAAGACGTCGATGCAGTGCAGTGAAATTTGGTGCAGAGAATCCTGAGCTATTGCTGACTCCAGCTGATCTGTCTACCTGTTGTGCTGCAGCAAGACCAGCTCAGGGCCAGAAGCAGTTCATCCACTTTAATGCACTTTGAGATAATAAATACAGCCCATCAGCACCATGCTGTGATGTACTGCTTCTAGAGCAGATAAAGTCCATGGCAGCTCAGGGCTTTCAGCACTGCTCTTCTTCATTGCTCAGTGCAGACATTCCTTAATCAGACTCCCTGGCTTGTTTCCACACCATCCTAATGGGATGCAGCCTTACTCTAAATCGCTTCCAAATTCTACCTTTTTCCCAGACTGTGACTACTCCCGCACCTTATGCCATGGTCCAGATATGATCTCCCTTATGTCCTGCCCTATGGCTGTAATATTTGTCATTGTCTGCAAAGACTGTGACTGGTAGCATGAGTTATTCCTGTGACTACATCACACCAGTGACTCACAGGCATCCTGTGCAAAGCTAGTATATCATGGAGCTACTTGCTCTTCCAGTCTTGTGATCAGCTCTCAGCTCATCAGTAATGAAGATGGGGCATGGGAACAGGTCCATTTATCACCCAGAACATAAACTAGGAGTTTTTCTTTTTTTATTCCCCCTATTTTATGGGGATGGGGAGGGATAGAGAAATGAGCTATCATTTTAGGAGTTTGCTTTCTGTCAGACAGCTCCAAAGGGGGCCAGGGTAAAGATGCATATTTGGATGCAAATTCTTTTTCTTGGAGGCAGGTTAGAGGATTTATATGCCAGTTCAACCCTTTCCACATCTTTTGACTTCCAGCCATGACTAAATAGAAGAAAATAAAAAGCCCTGAAAAGGGCAAAGGAGAAAGAACGAAAGGTTCACAGGAAACCATTTCTTTATGGTCTTCCAGAGGTAAAATATCTCTAGCATTTATCAAGTCTTGTTCCATCTTTCCAATCAGACAGTTTATTTCTGAATGACTTTTTTTTTTAACCCCTGCAGTTGAATTATGTTTCAGCAGCCTGGGTTGGGACAGAACTCCAATGACAAAATCAACATTATATTCTATATACTTCTTCTTGTTTGATCCAAAAAAATCACATCTTTCAAAGCCCATTCGCACTTTATGTGAGCAGAGCTTTTGGAACACAAAAAACACTATAAATAACTTTAAATCTTCAGCATATTTTTGTTGTTGTTCTGTTTTCTTTTTAAATATGAATAGGTGAAATTCAATGGATCAATGTTGTTTCCTTTTCTTTTCAGTGTATAAATGACATACTGTGAGTCCATTTATTTTGACTGCTCTGTGATCAGTTGCAAGGACTTTTAAAAAGAGAAGTGCAAATCAGTTCAAAATAAAAAAAAATGTTATTTGTAAATATCAACTTCAGCCAGGGGTCAGGGAGTTATCTAAGTTACTGAAAGCTTGTGCAAAACAACATTGTTTTAATGAACAGGAACATTAGAGTTTAAGTTGATACATTTATTCAGTGTTAGCTTTAAACTATGAGTTATGAGCTGTTTCTATAAAAAAAACCCACAACTCCTGATACATAAAATGTCAAACTGCCTCATAGTAAATATATAAATTTGGCTAAACTTGAATCAAATACAGTGTGGTGGCTGTATTGCAAAGAAGATAGATGACTGTTTAAAGTGGTCTTTCACCCCTTGCCAGTTGGCTGCTGAGAGGATTTGCAGCTGAGCCCACGAGCAGGCTCGTGAGGAGTCTGTAGTCCATGGGTTCAAGCCAGGCCTGTTACTCTG